CGTCACCTTCACAGGAAATGAGATGCCACAGCTCGAGTTGTTAAGACAGACTCCTCCAATTCTCCTTGTGGGCTTTTATTTCAATCAGTCTCCCTTTTCCTGTCATTCAGTATTCATGTGGATTTGCTCTAACCCTTTTCATGCTCCAGAAGAACAGAATCGATTAGGGCACAGACACAGACAAAACATTAAAACCCATCTGCTGTGTTTTCCCATGCAATGTTATGCAACACAAGGCTCTCTCAGGGGCAACTCATGCAGTTATGTGTGGGGATTTGCTGCCTCTCTGTGGCTATTAAACGGTACTACACCTCAGGTTCTTTCTAATTAAATCTTCACACTTCATGTTTTGTACACTAGATAGCATTTAGGGGATGTGTGTCTTTGTGTGGTAGGACGGCTCTGTTTCAAGATACGCTTAGAGGTAGTCAACTCATTATAACCACACGTTGCAGATTTGAAGTGTTTGTGTTTCACTCAGCAAAGTTTTCCAGATAAAAAAAATCAAAGTCCAAATGGATCAAAGTCCAATTCTCATTAAGATTTAGAGCAAATATCCAACTGTGGATGACCTTGTTTCACAACACAATAAACGAACAAGTCACCTCAATGACAAGATGTAAAACTGTAGCAGAAGATTTTGTTTTTCCCTCAACTCTCACATATTCTGGACTAAAGCTGTAGGGAAGAAGTTTACTTTTAAAAGTACTCACGCAAAGAAAATCTGTTTTGGTTTAGCGCATGCAAACCCTGATAGATATCTACAGTATGTCTGTGTAAAAATACGCATACTCATGACAGAATCAGACCTCGGGGTATTCTGAAGGGAACGTCCAGCCTTGCATATGAGCTGACATGATGCACGATGTGACTAAAACGTGAAAGAACACAGATGGGAACTTGATATTCTGTGAGTCAGTGGGTTGTAAAAAGAACATGTGATTGCTGGAACTAGAAAATCCACCTTTTCTTCCCACAAGAATATATATAAAAAGAATGAAGCTGAGAGAGAAAGAAAGACAGAAAGAAACCATCTGTCTGCAGGCTCTCTTATCTTAGATGTGTTTTATGAGCCACACAGCAGTGGAATAAAGGATTTTCAGAAGACTGTGGTGATTATAATAATGAGTCTGAGAAAATTGCTAACAGGTTAAAGTTTGGATTCACAAACATTTGATAAAAAAAGATGAAAAACTTAACGATTAGTCAGTTTAAATAGTCAACAATTCTGATAACTGGTTATTCAGTTAACTTCTTCTCAAATATGAAGATTTACTCCTCTCTCTGTTTTACATCATTGTAAACTCACTGACTGTTAAAACAACATTTGAGGACGTTGCCTTGGACTGAGAAATTGTGGAGACCCCATTTGAGTATAAATGATTAATTGAAAACAAACATTGGCAGATTAATCAATAAAGTAATCGTTATAGCCCTAATCAGAGCTGAGATGATTATTCATGGGTGGGGGGCAGGGATGAATGGGTTGCTCTTTTCTTGCCATGTGGCAAAAATCCAGACTTACAATTGATTTTTCAAGGAAGAAATTATCCGTTGTATGTAAATGGTGTAAAAGTCAGTGTAGACCTTACTCCATACAAATTCTGTGGCTTAGAAAAAAAACTTAGTGTTTGATCGTTGCGAGTTTTCTGCATTTGGACATTTAAAAACCAGACCCGGCATATTAGATAAAATGTCTCTCTCTAAGTTCAGTCGTTGGGTCCCGAGTGAGATGAAACTCATTAGAATCCATCTTAACGCAGTAGGAACAGAACTAAACCTTCACCACAAGAAACTGATTTCTATTAAGTTACACATTAGCATTATGAGCCCTTAGACGTCCTGCAGGGTACTAGCATAAGGGTCAAAGGCCAAGCAGTTTCCAGGAGCTACTTGTCACCCCCCCACCCCACCCCCCATCCCCCCCCCGTATAACCACTGGGATGCTAATGTCTCCCCTGAGTGGAGCAAACAGTAACCACTGTAAAAACCAAGCGTCACCTCTGACCCCTCTTCCTAAAGTTGCCCCTCTTTCCCGCTATTGATCCTTCAGATTCCTCCGACGTTGAGGGTAAGTGTGAGAATTCTCTTCCAGGTAAAGGCATGTGAGGAGTCATTAACTATGGCTCATCCAGAGTGTGTGTGTGAAAACTCACCATACAGAGAGGGGGCACTCAGATGGATCATTAAAGACATCTATTGCTGCCGGTGGTTGGTGAGTGCGGTTCAAAGGTTGCCCCCGTTTCTTCTTGGCTCTCTCAATCCACACAGAGAGGCAGGTGTTGGGTCAAGCGGATAACACTGACAAATGCAAGAAGTCAGCTCTGACACACGAGGAGGCCACGCTCATGGCAGGTAAGCAGCGCTCATAAATCAAGCTGGTTGAACAAAAGCTTTGTTGTATCATCTATGAAACTTATGTCTTTTAGGCTGTGTAATAATGTCTTTTTTTGATGATTTCCTTCCTGACAAAAAACCCTTTTCCCCTCAAATTTATGACATAATTAGATTTTCTTTCACTAAAAACACATCTTGCACACCTATTAATACATCCATCCATCTATCAGTCTGATATTTATATTTGTGGTTAATTAGAGCCCAATGAAGACTAACTGAATAAACTCTGCAACAGCAGAAATCAGAGTTATTTGGGGGTTTTTATGGGTAGTGCTGCGTTAAAAACTACTAGAACATATGAAAGAACATAGAATATATGAAAAAGTGTTTAACAGCTAATTTCTGAGATGCCACACAGAAGTAGTGTGTAATTTTCTGTAGCACACTTCTGAAACATGTTATCAATGTTTTTGGTTTTTTTCTAATTCTTCTAAAATTAGGCAAAATCATAAAGTATCAAGGTGATAAAACAATGTTAAGTAGGTTTATTAAGCTGTTAAACAGGGACCCCAAACAGAATCTCAGTCTTAAAGCCTAGAGTCTAGAACATGCTATTCTTCATGAGCTTATTCTTGTTTTAAACTCTCTCTTAAACTCTTCAGATACTTTTTCCGTGTCCTTCAACAGATAAAATGGAAACGCTCACACTCCTGCTCGTGTTCTTCACACTTCCTGGTTATTCACACGTACTGCAGCCAAGTAAGTATCACATTAGCTCTATGTAACATTTCAAGCTTGTATCAAAATGTACTCTAGTGAGAATTTTGACTTTACTAATCGCCGTAATTACGTTAATGATGATCCTACAATCAACAGGTCATAAACACATCCATGCAGATTATTTCATGAGCCTTTCAAAGGGAATGCTTACTGTTGTAATGCTAGGATGACACCAGCTGTTTTTACTTGTTTGCAACATGTTTTATATTTTTCTATTAAGAAAATTAGTGACTAATGTATCTTCTAACTGAAGCGTTTGCTGTCTGTATTGTTCTACAGACACGCAGATAGCTGCGCTGGACAAAGACCACCGGTCTGTGTTGAGAGATGCTTTTATATCAGCAGAGGAAAGAGGAAATGGGGAAAACAAAGCTGCTGAATCCACTGAGAGGAAAGAGGAGGAACAGAGGAGTGAAAGAGTGAGTCCAGAGACAAACCCTGTGAGGATGCCTGTCAAGAGGGAAAAGACTGTGGAGGAAAGAAGGGAAGACGGGCTGAAAGGTGAAGAAATCCTGGACACAAATCAGGGATATGAGACAGGAAGTCTGACTGATGGGATGACTGCTGAGACATTTTCTAAAAGTCTTATTTTAGGGGAAGAAACAAAAAGAGGGCAATACAAAGTGAGGGATTTAGATAAAGAGGTTGTAGAGGAGAAATCAGAGGATGGACAAAATTTGATTCCAAACTCAAAGAGAGAGGCGCGTGATGAGAGCGTAATGGTAAAAACAATGCTGTCAGATAACACAAAAAACTGGAAAATAGTCAAAACTGTCAAAAGTCATAATCCAGGGACACAAAAGGGAGCAATGTATAATGAAACAGATGTGAAATTTCAAATGGAGAAGTGGAGACAAGGAATGGTGGAAGAGGAGAGAGAAAGCAGGCTGGTTGCAGGGATGAATCTTCATGAGACAAGAGGAGACACTCCTGAGGATGAAAAGATAGTAACTGTAAAACAGGAAGTAGCAGAGAAAGGAGGAAACAGGGAAAGAGCGGAAAATTCTCAACAAATTCTCACTCATGCTCAAAATCCTCCGAGTACTCCTCCTCCTCCTCCTCATCATCATCATAATCATAATGTCCCTCCACCATTTCCCGTTACACCCACACAAGTTCCTCCAGCCTCCTCACTCCCTTCCACTGTTTACGCCAAATTTACTTCTCAGTTCTTTCCTCCCGCTGTCACTATTCCCAACCCTTCAGTCTCAACAGCGGTTCCTGGCGAGGTGAGGTCTGTCTCGCTGCTTGAAGATCTCCTCATTGAGGTGTTAGAGAGCCCTGGATATGATCTCGAGCAGAATCTACTGGAAGTCAAGGCTAGCCCAGATTTAAAGGAAGAAATGGACAAAAATATATGGTTGAAACCTGCACAGAAAGAGCTACAAACCACACACGATGCACAAGAAGCAAACACTGTTGTTCAACCAGAGAGTGAATCTGCCCCCAAGGTGCAATCATCAACACCAAAACCTAAAGAAGCAAAGTTTATAACTGAAGATTTAAACAGTAAAGAACCAAATCCTACACCAAAATCAAATGAAAATATATCCACGGCTAAACTGGTCGAGCTTACACATAAACCAAACATGACACAGTCGACAGGCAAACCCAAAACAGTTAAATTGGTGGAAAATGACAGCAAACTTGCAGGGAAGCGAAATAAAGCATCTCTTCCCAAACCACAACTGACCAAACCTTCAGCCAAACCACAGCTGACAACTACCAAAACACTTTCAACAAGGCCAACGAAAATCAACAGAGGTCGTAAAAATAAGACAATTACAAAGTCCAAGGAAAAGAAAAGAAAAAAGGACAATAAAACCCAAAAGCCAAAAGAGAAGAAGGAGGAGGTCGCCACGCCAACACACTTTCCTTACTTTATGGATAACTACTGTCCACCTGAGTGTGCCTGCTATGGAAGGTAAGACGATAAGGATGGTGAACATTCACCGCATTCACATTCTCCATCATGAATATTTGCTGTTTTTTTTTTCCTGTTTCATATACTTTGAATGTTTTGAGGTTTAGGATGAGACAAACTAGCAACGAAAATATTAATTATTAAAAAGGAATAGTTTTAGGTTTTGGGAAATAAGATTATTTGCTTTTTGCCAAGAGTTAGACGAGTCAGCAGCTGGTTAGCTTAGTGTAGCACATAAGACTAAAAACAGGGAAAAAGCTAGCATAGCTTTGTCCAAAGGTAACAATATTCACCCACCAGCACCTCTAAAGAATACCAGTTAACACATTGTATCTCATTTGTTCATTCCATACAAAAATCTAATTGAAATATCAAATAGCCATTTTACGAAGGGTATATTTCCAGACCATTTCTCAGCTAGGAACAGTACATTTTTGGAATTTTCTCATCACCTTAAGCTTAAAAGGCAACTCCAGGAATACTTAGACTTAACAGCATAAACAAACTACAACTACTTACAGGATTAACATAACTTTAGAGGTGATCTAAAGTCTCATCTAACTCTCAATGAGAGTGAATAAGCATATTTCCCAAAAGTTGCAGCTCTGATTTTATGACAGTCAGTTTGTGATCGGGAGCTTTGGTCTCAGAATAGTTTGGAAATCACTAAGTTCATCTTGAGTCTCATTGTTTTCCAGAGTGGTTCAGTGCTCAGACAAAGGTGTGGATAGAGTTCCTTACGGCATTCCCTATAATGCTCGCTACATCCTCCTCATGAATAACCACATCGACAGCATCCAGCTGGACCTGCTCAATGAGTATGTCTCAATGGAGTTCCTTGTAATGAGCAACAATCGGCTCACAGATGGTACCATAGAAGGAGCCTTTGAGGGGGTCCCAGCTCTGAAACGCCTCTACCTGGATAGGAACCTCCTAAAAAGTGTGCCAACTGACCTTCCAGTATCTCTCGAGGAGCTTCGTCTGGACAATAACCAGTTGGGTGTGATGTCGGAGGCAGCCTGGGCCCGGTGCCCCGGCCTCCTGGTGCTGAGCCTCAGCAACAACAGCCTGGGGAATGGATCTGAATCTCTTCCTAATGCAGTGCTCTCTCCTCTGTGCAACCTGCGTACCCTGAACCTGGATCACAACCAGTTAACATCGGTTCCTCAGGGTTTACCACTGTCCATCAAGGAGCTGTATCTTAAAGGGAATCTCATTGGGCAGTTTCGTGGAGGAGCCTTCAATGGGGTGTCAGAGCTGTTGGTGTTAGACCTGAGTGCAAACAGACTGACGAACAAAGGTCTTCTCAGGGAGTCCCTCCTCAATGCAACACACTTGGAAAGCCTCAACTTGGAGGGGAACAGACTGAAACAAGTGCCACGACACCTTCCCCGCTCACTGAAAACCCTAAATCTGGAGGGAAACCTCATATTGTCCATAAAGAAAGCAGCTTTCAGCACCTTGAAAAACTTGGAACACCTGGGCTTGGCCAGGAATAAGATTTTCAAAGTTGCAATAGGTGCATTCAGGACATTGCCTGTCCTGCACCAGTTAGACCTTTGCCACAACACCTTGCGCCAAGTTCCAAGACAACTGCCGCAGGGTTTGCATTCAGTAGCACTCAGCAACAACAAGATTCAGTCAGTGCCTCGTGATGCTTTCTGCTGGGGTGATAAAAGTCTGACTCTCAGCAGGCTCATACGAGTGCAGCTGGAACACAATTTAATTGATATGGGGAAGCTGGATGCACAGGCTTTTAGATGCTTACGGGGATTCCAGGTGTTGCACTTCTACTGAGCCAATGAACCTTCAAAAAAAACAAAAAAAAACTGAGCTATGACTCTTAATGCACATGTTTTTTTAAAAAGTTTATTTTTAATGGGACTGACACCCCTACTTTATCCATTCCTATGCCAGAAATCAATGGTGAAACTGACCAACAAAATAAAAATATAATGTGTGTGAAATTCAATTTATTTTATGTGTGTGTATCACACCCAAACATCTGACAGCTTTTATGACAATAATTCTCCTCGCACATCTTATTTTCTTTTACTAACATGCCTCAAAAGTTGGAGAACAATTGAGTACATGAAACAGGAACACTCTAACCAAGTGAACCTAAAAGCAAATTTATGTGACTGCCAAGCTATTGAAACCATTATGGACCTTACTGGTGGTTTTGTCACGACAAAGCAGAACTGGCAACATTTGGTTTCCTTTCATTGCGGGTTTTGGGGGTAGGGTTAGGGTTAGAAATAAATAAAAAAAATCACTTCAAACTTGCATGAAGTTGGTAATCAAACACATTTCTCATCTATAAATTTTCTTTAATCTACCTCTGGTACCACAGTGCAGGTATTTTTTCAGTATTATTTTTTCCAATCATAACATGAATTTAAAATGTTGTTACAGTTGTGTCTGCAGTTCCAGCATGAGTTTTTAAACAGCCATACTCACACTTTCGCAAAAGAATATATATATTGATGTGATGGATTCTCTCTCAAGCACATTTAAAGTGTCTGCAAGGTGATTTTCACACTAATGACTCCCTGTAAGTTAAGAAATCAGTCTGAAAACTTGCAAAAATTGCATTCTTTGGATTATTTCTCTCAGTTACACAATAAAGCCATGTATATATATACTTGAAGTCAATGCTGTAAATGTAATGTTGATGTGAATTCAATAAAGTTCCCTGACTAATTCAGATGTACAAACTAGCTCTTCAAGTTATCCATTTATAGTGTATGGATAGTCTATGGATCATGCCATATACTTTACATGTGACTTTACATTTATCTAATGTTGTAGATATTGTAAATTTGATATTGACCAAACAGCTCTCTAAAAACATTCATGTGAAAACAAGCTCTTCTAGTTGTTACATTCCCAAAGGTAACAACTAGAAAGACTCTTGTCTGAGTGACGTGATCTGCGCGTGAGCTCTTTCAGAAAAACAGAATGATTCTGAGTAATAGAGGTCTACTGATGTCTGTGGCAAAAAGATTCCCAGTTGGGTATTTTTCTTTTTGTTTCCCATGAATCAAAGTTTTTCCCCACATGTTGCCTCCTTGAGAAGGAAAGCCGAGCAAGTCTTCTGACTGATATAAATAGAGCAGAGGACAGGTGATCCCAATCAGTTAGTAATCAACATGAACACAGAAATAGAGTTTGAGTTCTCAATTGTTTGTAAGTCCACACTGTAGGAACTACAACAAATACAACAATAACAAATATAACAAAAATTTAAAAAAAACCCTGAGTAAAAATTCTAAAGTAGAAAACCATTTAGGTGCATGTTGGTCAATTAGACATTACATTTACTGAACACCCAATGCATCCCAGTCACATATATAATATCTGAAATGTCAAAAGTATGAGCAAATGTGTGTCCTAAAAGATCTTTAAATAACTGCAAATGTTCAATACAGTCACGAGACAAAAATTACAGAGAAAAAAAATGACAAGAACAGGCTTTAATGCACCCTGTCAAAATAGCATATGCTACAGTTTATAAAAATGACAGGCACTTCAATGCAAGTAAGAAAAAGACAAGAACGCTTGATATCATTGTCCTGTCAGTAAATGCTGAAAGGACCTGCAGATTTCTAGTTATCAAGCGGGTGTACGGCCAACCCAGAAAGAAACATTATCAAAACCAGCTGAAGTCACATTATATATAGATACAGAGTGTAGACCCTCAGATATTTACTAATTAACACTGTTCTACTTTGTGATGTTCTCTCTTGTGGGGATATGGCTTTTCTTGGGCTATGAATGACCTCTCTATGGATTTCATTTCTATGTTCATGTTGATTACCATGTGAGCTCACTGATTGGATTCACCTGTCCTAAACTCCATATGTGTTGCTCAAATGATTTGCTTGGGTTTTTGCATTTTCTTCTAGACGACAACATGTGATCTGGATACACAGAATGAAAACTAGAAGACTTTCAACATTACAGATGTGCTGCTCTGTCCTCCTTAGAGCTGGCACTGAAACTGAAATAGATTTTCCTTCAGTTCTACAGACAAAGGGAGACATGTCCTCCCAAACACTTCATGCCCCACTTCTATCAAATCATATAAAACAACCACCATAAGACGTTAAATGTTTCTGCATGAAATTATTTTCACAAAACCACCTCCAAACAGCTGCATTCTTTATAACAGACTAAGGTCCAACACAAATTTGCTGTGTGTTATTTGAGCTGTGCTTATCTTTTGTTGTTCTTGAGCTTTCATAAACTTTGGATTTGTGCTATCATCCCTGGTTGCTACTTATTGAAATGTGGGAAACCGTGGAAAAAATAACTGACAGCCATGATATGCTCCAGTGTAAAGCTCCGAATTCTGCTGATAAATGGTTCAAGTGTTCTACTGCTGAGCATTTTCACCATTTTCCATAAACAAACCACTCAAAGCTGTTGTTGTTGTTTTTACACCGTGTTTGTGCAGCAAATTCCTCAGGGGATTCCCATGAGAACAGCAACATCATTAACTTGTCAGGAGCTGTGCATTGTCAAATGATGGAAATCATTAAGGACTGTGTGGAACAAACAATATCATACACATGGTTACATAATGCAGTATATGGGATTAAAAAGAACCTGAAATATGTTATTATACCTTGTCCAATCTACAAGTTCAGCAGCTGTTTATAAATGTATAAAATATAATCGTCCTCCATTCTAGAGAAGTCCAAGAAACAGCTGTAAACACGCCAAAATAAAAGTAGAATTAAATGTGTCGTTAACAAAATATCCACTAGATGGCAATAATGTATAGGAAAATAGTTGTCATGAGGGCTGTGTCTGTTTTTAAGGTGTGTAAAACGAGATACAAAAATATTAGGAACTTGAATTTGGCTCATTTCCAGTCAGCAAATACAAAATTGTCGCAATTAAAATGCATTTGCTTCAGGAAGTTTAACTTGTGGGAAAAATGGTATATTTAAGACTCTCAGCAGACTGGAAATGCATCAATGCAAGCGCCACACACTCAGACACACACACATCAACGCACACAGGCATGAGTCATAAGAGAGGCTTTCACAGACAAGTAAGATGTTTATGGACTTCTCTTTCAATAATGTGAGAGGATTTGATTTGACCACAAGCCTGGAAAAAATATACATCAGAGACAATAAGTGAAGAAGTGGATTTTTTCTTTAATAGAAAAGCAGGAAGACAGTAACAGAGGAGGAAGAGCATTAGCCCACGTGGAGGTGCTTAGCACTTTTCTCTCTTCTTTCACTCTCTCTCTCTCAGTCTAATAAGTTCACTCAGCGACGTGGCACTGCACCCATAGGGCCTGGGAAAGAAGAGCAGGAGGAGGGGGACAAGAGGGAGGGCCAGGAGGAGGAGGACGAGGAGGAGGAGGAGGAGGGGGAGGGGGGGTGAAGAAGAGAGAGTGAAGGGGAGGAGAAGGGAGGGCTCTAAGGATGGATCCAGGCTCCACTGGCTGGCTCAGTGCATGTCCAGAAGGGAAGAGCTTCGGCTGGGCAAGGGAGCTCACCAGCACCTCCCTACGGTCCAGCAGGACCCTGACCCCGTATCACAACACCACATGTCTACCTGGATCCCCTGGAATCACTCCTCCTTTCTTTTTGTCTCAATTTTTCCCTTTCTTCCTCTCCTTCTTTACCCTTTTTTCCTTCTTGCACACTTTCTTTCTTTCACTCTATCATCTTAAGGTTGTGTGTCCCTGCATGCAAATGTGCATACCTACACTAGATGTGTACACAGTACCTGTGTGCACACTGGTTTCCACAGTAGTCTGGAGTATGTGCGTGGGAGTCGCAGACGTAATCATGTGAACTGCTCCCTTGACAGAGTCTGAACCCATGTGCTCATTTAAGTAGTTTGGCAGATGGTTGAATTTATTTGTGTACCTCTGTATCCTGTGCTGGATGCCGTCTGATATATCTAAGCTTATCCCAACAGGAGGTTTGCAGGATTAGTAGTAGTAAGGGTTGCTCAGGAAAGCCTGTTGTCTTTTTCTTAGTATGTGTCACCCATCTGCAAGAGTAAGTTACATTTCTTAAGTCTGCCTACGTTTTTCATTCAGACATGACTGGGGAGGCAGTGTGAAGCTCCAGCCAAAAGCACAACACTATTAATCAACCAACACTCTCCTACTTGGAAGGAGATGGCACAACTCTTCAGTGGTACGTTCTACTTTCCAAACTAACATTTTAAAACTCCCAACTCACTCATAAACTCCCATAGGTGTAAATACTGTAGCTGGAAATCTAAAATCTGAGCCTCTTCGTCTGATTCTTTTGTTCCAGTGCTAACCACATTCAATAAGCTCTTACAGGAATCTGACCACGCAACAAGAGAATAGGAAGACGAGAAAGAACAGAGAGAACAGGATATTAAACCACACCCTGCATGTGAGCCAGTCAGACGAACAGACAGGGTTGTGGTACTATTTAGCTTCATACGTATGAATCCGGGAGGCTTTCTTCCCAAGATGCATCAGGAGCTCGGAAATATCAGGAAATTTGCCCATTTGGTTAAAATCTAGAAATTTGTTCACCTGTGTTGGCAGCTTGCGAACGCAAATTTTAAGTTGAATGTTTAATGTTTCATGAGCTGCAGCAAGAATTTTACAGAAAACATCTACATGAGAAGTGGACGTGTTTCAGTGATGGTTGTAACTGACAGCATATAATTTGTGGCTGTTCTTTGTCACATACAGCAATTGAATGCAGCTGTAAGAAACACACATTCAGATGTAGATTTTCCCTTTATAGGGATGCCTGTCCATTTGTGTCCCACACACACACACA